TGGATATTAACCCTTTGTCAGATATATGTCTTGAAAATATTTTTTTTCAGTTTTATGGGTTGTCTCTTCATATTGTTAATTATTTTCTTTGCTGTAGAGAAGTTTTTTAGTTTGACATAATTTTATTTATTTTTGCTTCTGCTTTTAGTGTTAAAATTAAAAAGTCATTGCCAAGGCCAATGTCAAGGAGCTTTTGCCCAATGCTTTCTTCTATGAGTTCTATGTTGCAGATTTTACTTTTAAGTTGTCAATCTATTTCAAATTAGTCTTTGTAAGCTGTATAATATAAAGGTCCCATTTCATTCTTTTGCATATAGATAACTAGTTTTCCCAGAATTGTTTACTCAAGAGACCTTCATTTACCTATTGTATATTCTTGGTGTTTTTTTAAATATTAGTTGACCATGTGTGTGCAGGTTTATTTCTGGGCTCTCAATTCTATATTGTTGGTGTATGTGTTGCTTTTATGGAGCATCATACTGTTTTGCCTTTAATATACTTTAAAATCAATTAAGTGTGATGCCTACAGCTTTGTTTTTCTTATTTGACTGCTTTAGCAATGTTAATCTTTTATAGTTCCATATGAATCTTATAATTGTTTTTTCTATGAAGAATATCTTTGGAATTTTTATAGAGATTTCATTGACTCTATATATCACTTTAGGTGAACATTTTAACAATATTAATTCTTCTGATATATGACGGGATGTTTTTCCATTTATTTATGTCTTCAATTTATTTCATCAAGGTTTTGCAATTTTTAGTGTATAGATTTTAAACTCATGATTAAATTATTTCTAAGTAATTTATTGTATTTGATATAATATGAATTGTATTTTTATTTCCTTTTCAGATATTAGGTTGTTGATGTATAACCATACATTTGATTTTTTTGTATATTGATTTCATATCCTGTAATTTTACTGAATTCATTTATTATTTCTAAAGTTGTTTTTGGTGGAGTTGTCAGAGTTTGCAATATATAAGATCATGCCATCTTCAAATAAAGGCAATTTCACTTCTTTAGTTGCAATTTGGATGCCTTTCATTTCCTTTTCTTGCCTAATTGTTCTGGCTAAGACTTTGTGTATTATATTGAATAGAAGTGGTGAGAGTGAAAGAGTAGACCAAACTGTCTTCCAAACTGGTTTTTAACATATTACTTCCTACTAGCAGTGAAAAACAGTTTCTATTTTTGGACATCTTTCCAGCATTTGATGTTGTCTTCAGGTTCATCCATGTTCTCACAAGTGATAGGATTTTCTTCTTTTGAGTAATATTCCATTGTATGTGTACCCCATTTTCTTTATTTAGCTGTTGGTAGGCAATTCCATTTCTTGACTATTGTGAATAATATTGCAATGAACATGGTATCGCAGGTATCTTTTTTGGTATATTAACTTCCTTTGTTTTGACTGCATAACCTAGCAGTGGCTTTCTAGATCATATGGTAGAGCTACTTTTTATTTTTTGAGGCACCTCCATATTGATTTCTATAATGACTGATCAAATTTACATTCCCACCAATAGTGTGCAAAGGGACTTTTTTCTGAAATGCCTCATTGTTAGTCAGCTTTCTGTCACTACGATGTAATACCTGAGAAAAATAAAAGAGGAAAGATTTATTTTGATTCACAGTTTCAGTCATTGGTTACTTGACTCTATTGTTTTTGGGCTTAAAGTGAGGCAGAATATCATGACAGGGAACTTATGATGCAACAATGCTGCTTACTACACGCACACAGAGACATATGAACAAACACACATTTGATGTTTAATATTTTTCAATTTTTAGATGTGTCTCTCTTCAAGAGAGCAGAGGTAATCTGAATAGGATAGAAATGCTCACTGTTCCATTACCAGTTCCTTGCCCAGTATGTAGTACATAGCAGGCTTGTAAGAGGACTGAAAGTACAAGGAAGGAATAATTGAAAAAGAGTTGGTTTTGAGATCAAGAGCCCAGGAGAAGATAGCCATGGAAAGAAAGGAGAGGGATTGTCAGGAAGGGAGAGAAGAGGGGGGAGAAGGAGAGGGGGAGAGAGAGAGATTTTGATTCTTTTTCTTGAAGGCAAATGGGAGAAAGAAATGGATATCTCCAATTCCTGAGAGTAGTAGAATATGTTTGGATTTGGGGTAATATAATACTGGATTAGTAACCTTAATCTTCTCTTTTAAAACAATTATTTGACAGATAACTTAATTTTTTTTCACTCTCAGTTTCCACATTTACATACTAAAGATAATAATACCTCACAAGGTGATTGCCAGTGATTAAATCACACAATGAATGCAGCATTGCCTTATAGTTATAGCATGGAACTGGAAATAGATTTGGACAGAATCTTGCCTATTCTACTTAACTATCTGAGCGATCTTGTGCAAGATAGTGTTCAATACGGAGAAAAATTAGGGATCGAATTCATTATCTAAACAAGTTACAAGAGATACTGTAAGAGATGAAAACATAAAGGATTTTAGGTGCAAGGATAAATCTTTTCATAGCTAATGAGCAAAGAATCAAACTTAGGCTGTCTGCTCCTAGGACCTGTGCTATTAACCCTTGAATTTTCTTGCTTCCTAAAATAAAGCCATTTAATATTATAATATGGAGTTGAGCCTCATACATTTTGCAAAAATAATTTTCTGTCAGCAAAGTATTAGGTGGTAGATATGTACTGGGTAGAGCCTTGCAAAGCAGAAATATTTTCTATGTTTAACATAGTGGGACATTGAAAATAAAACATCCTCTTCTTTGCTGTCATGGAATTAATGCTGTAAAAACATGCCAACTGAAAGGCTGTTTTACCATAATGCTATTCTAGATCAGAAGACATAATTTATTTCATTTGACCTTAAAAAAGTTCAGTGATATTTCAGAAAATATTCAAGTTATTTAAAAAGTTATTATGCCTCTTTATTGATCTGACAGCAAGACTGGTGAAAACTTTTATAGGACTCTAGTTTTAGACAGAATCAAGAGGTTGGCATGTGGGTATCTGATGTGAGAGCAGGCAATGGTTTGAATTCAGATGGGCCTGAAGAAGAACTTTTAAAGGTCAAGCAGGTGAAAATTCAAAGGTTTGGATGGTTTGTGGAATGGCTCTGTAGAACAGAAACTAGAATGAACTTAATACCATAATACAAGTTATTTTGCTCACAGGAGATCATAGCCAGAGCACCTAAAATTAGTTTTTTTCTTGCAATACTTATAGGTGAATAGATTTGAAATTTGATCAACTCTGCCTATGATTAAAATGCTAAAAACATATTAACTACTTCCATCACATCTGATTTCATTTGAGCAATTAAACAGTAATTTTTATTGCCCTTTCAAAGTCTCTTCTTAATGATGATACCACATTAGAGGGCCATTTACCAAAAATTTTAATTGGTTTAATTTTTGTTGTGAAACATTGGAGTGGAAAGTTTGTACTAAGTTAGTGAGCCAAATAAAGACATGGAAAAGTGGCAAATAAAATAAGGAGAAATGAAGCCCTGACCAATGACCAAGCTTATAGTTGGGATTATGATATCCTCAAAAAATTATGCACTAGACCAAGAAAAATAAGTTCAATTTAGCTTTTGTAAAGTTACTGTTATGAATTTTTAAAATTTTTGTCTATGTAAAAGAAAAAAATGGAATGGCTAAATGAACAGTAGAAATGCAGGCAGGAAATAAAGACAAAAAAGAATTCTCTTGAATATTTTGAAGATAGTTAATTAATATATTAGATCTTCAATCTAATTTATATTTTACATTATATCTTATAAAATATAATTACACAATACAGGTATTTTTTCTAATTGTTTTAACCTTAAGTATCTTTCTGTAATTATTTTCTGTTCCTAAGCTTGGCATTATAGTTACAGATTTTAAAATTATACTCTGACCATTTCTGATTCCAAATATTTATCATCATGTAATGTAGCACAAGGATCAATGTAAGATGTGCACATATACATATCTATATATGTATATACCTCTTTCTAATAAGCATATATAAAATTTTACAAGTTTATATATTGTGAAGATCTTTTAATGCCATGTATGTGTGAGTTTATGCACTCCCTATTCTGAGTCTTACACTAAGAAGATAATTATATGATTTCATTTTACATTAAGTGTTCCTTAGAGAACTTTTATTTTATACTAACTCTTTCTTCAATTATCATGTTAGACCTCATCTTGGAAAGGCTTCCTCTCTTGATGTATTCTTATAAAAGACCCTTAGAGCAGCATAAGCTCTAACTGTTTTTCAGAGGCTATAGATTATCTTGACTATATTACCTAAAAACTTAGCTCTTTATATACCATGTCAGGTACCAGTGGCTGAAAGTTGTAATAGATCAATAAGAAAATGGAGTTTTACTTTTTAAATAGAGTCAGATTTTTTTGATACATTAGTGGTAAAACTAATTACATCTTATTACTTACAGTGATGTATAATGAAAATATTGTATAAGACCAGCTTATTTGCTCTATGACCTTGGGTAAGACTGCCTCTCAGCCTTACCCATCACCAGCTAAAATATGTGGCTAATATTTTTGTTTTCCACTTCATACTGTTGTCAAGATGAGATGATATATTTAAAAACATTGTGTTAGTGCAGTCTGGAAATGTTATTATAAGTAGCAGTCATTGTATTGAGCATTCATATTATTCTTCTGGCAGTTTGATGACACATACATTAATATTCAAATTTTAGCAATCAGAAAGGTGAGGTTGAGAGTGCATTAGGACACTTTGGTGAGCTAGAGAGGTAAGATTTGAATCCAGGGCTTTCTTATTCTAGAACCAATGTTGATATCACATCATTCTCATCATTCATCTGAATAATAATTGCTACATATCCTTATATATGAACTGGTTGAAGTAGTAAAATACACTTGTCTTTATTATCATGTCTGAATTTTAAAATGTGAAATCAAAATATTACTTATTTTTTCATAAAATTGGAATGTCACAGGGTTCTAACCTCTAAATGTGCTCTTCTCATAGAATTTAATTGTCCTGAACCCACTCATGGTGACTGAAGAAGAAATAAGACCATCACTAGAAAAACGCCTTGAAGCCATTATCAGTAGGGCTGCTCTGTTGGCAGACTCCTCATGCACAAGGGACTTCCACCGGGAGCGGATCATTGCAGAATGCAATGCCATTCGCCAGGCTCTTCAGGACTTGCTTTCAGAGTACATGAACAATGTAAGTGACTCGTTTGTCCTGTCATCCCTGTCCTCATTTTCCTCTTGTCCTTTGAGTATGTGCTATGATGCTTTCTGTTACAAGTATGATTGATCACAAATGAGTATGTGATTTCACATGAATTGTCTTTCTGAAGGGATTCCCCTTGGTTGTTCATAGTGAACAGTAAGCCTAGGTGTTTCCTGGAGTAGAATTAGAACCAAATGAGTATTTACACAGGATTATTTTATTTGTAGAAGAATCTAAATATTAGTTGAAGAAGTGAATCATATTTGGAAAAAGAAAACTATAGTTGCACATTAATTTAGCAGATTAAAAAGAAGATAAAGAGTGGCAAGTTGCTCAGGTTTAAGTTAGTGAATAAGAAAAGAACATTAGAATTAGAATTTAGATAGTATCAGGTAAAAGTAAATGCTGCAGATATCATCAGTCATATTTGAAGGAGTAAAGAGCTCATGCCATTTGGGTAGCTCTTAAGCTTTTTCAGAAGTGATATAGTATCATAACTTTTGCAGTTTTAGATATTGCTCAGAAATATTGAAAATGTTTAAATTTAGGGGAAATACTTGCTTCAAGGTCCTTTCTATTTCATTTTATGCATACATAGCTCCATCTATGGAGGGTCTATAACTTGTTCCATCAAATCTTAGTTTTAATAAAATGAAGAACAGAGTAAAGATATTGGTAGCTGTAAAGTAGTTTCCCCTTGTCCACAGTTTTACTTCCCATGGTGTCATTTATTCGTGCTTAACCATGGTCTGAAAACATTAAATAGAAAATTCCAAAAGTGCTAAAGTTTTAAATAACTTATTATAGTGCATTTTAATCATTTATTCTATCATTAGCTGTTATTGTTAATCTCTTGATGTGCTAATTTATAAAGTTAATCACAGGTATGCATGTATAGGAATAATCATGCCATAACTTGGATTAGGTAATATATTTTAAGGTGACCACTGGGGATCTTGAAACATATTCCCCACAGATAAGGTGGGCTATTATATATTAATCATGAAGGCTTCTTAAATAATACAACTATATAAGGACTAAAAGGTATAATAGATAATGTGAAATAGGAAGAAAAGTTGCAAAGGGAAGGGGAAGTGGGAGGGGTAGGGAAAAAGAAGGAAGGGAATGGAATTAATGTGTGAAAAAGAAAAAAATGGAAATAAAGTCTTTGTAGATAGGGAGGGGTGGAGGGGTTGAAGGGGAGGGGAATGGGGAAAAAATAAGAACCAAGATGGATTATGTAAAGGTGCAAATTTCCAATGATGAATATCATTATATTGTATACCTTAAATGTACCAATAAAATTAACTTAAAAATAATAGAATTATAGAGTTATATTAGGAATATTTTGTTCATCCATTTTAAGTAGAATAACTCAGGATTTATAAAGGTATGTTTTGAGAACTATTAGTCACAAAGTATAAGACTTTGTAGTTATAAAATTGAAGATTTGGAGTTGTTTGGTAGAAGTTCTTTATGTGAATAATTGAGTTGTGCTAAATTAGTTAGAGTTTTGAGGATCTTCCAACACTTTTGATGTATCTTGATATTCTTAGTATTTGATGACTTTGGCTCCTGACAACAATCTCTTGCCTGTGAAGAAATCCAACTTATAAAGCAGATTTTATTAATAAGAACATATTAGTAATGTTGTGTCCTGCTAGAATATCTGAAGCTAGAATATTCTCCTTTTTAACATATGATATTCTTAAAGACTTTTCAAGGCAATTCATCAGTCTCAAGAAACTCAAGCAATGAAGTTAAATTATAATTCCTTCTCCCCTGATGTATAGAATACAAGATAATTTCTCTTATCTTATAGATAAAATATAATAAAGTCATATAGACATTTAGCCTATCTATAAATTATAGATAAACTGACTTTTAAAAAGTTAATTTATTCTTTACAGATCCAAATGCAAGCACATGATGGAATATATATATATATATATATATCTCCATACATATAAGTAGATATGGCTACATAATTTTGTGTGGCTGAGTAGAAAATGAAAATGACAGGCTTTTTATTCAAACAGCAAGGAAAAAATCTCTCCCTTTCTTCCATTCCTTTTTACCTCTGTAAGGTTATTTTTATTTGCTGCTTAATGCTAGATTTCACAGCATATAGGGGTACTATGGCGTAAAGCAGACCCTCAAAGGCCTTTATGGCCCTGCTCCATGATACTGATCCAGTCTACAGTTTGCCAAGGCCTCCCCCAGGGGAGGAAAGGGGAAGTAATTGGTAGGTGTAAGAACAAGTGTTTGAGAACCTATTTTAGGATGTTGTCCAGATGCAGGACTGAATGTGAGTCTAGATATATTTGTTCTTGTGCTCTTGTATTATACAAATTCAAAGAAATTTCAGAACTGTGACAGCAGAGCACTTAAACCTAAGCATGAGGCCGCCTTTTTTAAGTGTGTGTGCCTCTGCATAACTGTAAGTCCCTGGAGTTGACACTGTAAATTATAATTACGTATCATAAAAATATTGGTGATTTTTATGGTCTCTACAAATTAGTTAAAAACTTTGAAGTGGTGGGGCATTCAATCTTGAGTACAATCATTAAGAATGTGCAGTCATTAAAAGAATTTTATAAAAACTAACAAAACCAACTACAAGTCAGTTTTTTACTGTTCTCATGCACTAGTCATTGTAAACACCAGCAATAAACTAATGTTTTTCACAAAGTTTTTTTGGTCTATGCACTACACAATTGTGATTATTGTTGTTTTAATAATATGTATGATTCAAGTTAGATGTTGAAAACTATCCTGTAAACATTATACTTTTTAAATGTATTCTTTGTGAATAGAGGAGATCCAAAATAAGCGGTGATTAAACACTGATTGTAAAACAAAGAACTAGAAATTGAGTCACTTCAATTCTGTTATTTGACCTGTTCATTTGGAAGTTTTGAGTTTAAAATTATAATGAAACAGTGTAGATTGCAAGTGATACTATTTTTGTTAGGTAACTGCAAATTTAGTTCATACATGAAATATTTCATTGAATTTGAATAGTAACTAAAATTTATTCTCTTTTTGAAAATTATTAATTACTTTAAAGTTAAAGAGCACATCAAGAAAATAATAATTATTCCTACTTAGTAATGGAAAATAATTTTGTCAAAGAGAGAGAGGAGTTTTTAAAAGCTACTCCAGGTATCAAATACATTAAGTAAGCTACTGAAAATATGAATTATATTCGCTTTTCCTTAACAAGGATTTAACCTGATTTTTAGTTTTAAGTACCCTTTTCAAGTGCATAATTTATGTTGCTAATGTCTTCTGTTAGTTTTGTTTTCAAATAAAGTAAGTTCTGCATCAGAGCTAAGTAGAAAGAAACTTTTATATTTATAGTATCAAATAACTAAAAGAGAAAATAAGTAGTTGTTTTCTTTTTACCTTACCCAATAATTATCTTGAATTTTATTTTTTTAGGGTAACCTTAGTTGCAGGAAGGCAACTATTTCTCAGTGATTTAAATGACTAAATTATAATGCTATTCATACTTGAGGGAGGCTGTTTTCTTCTTTCTTCCTTCACTTCCCTTTCCCTTTTATTCTCTTCTGACAAAGGAGTGCAGAAACCTCCTGAAACACATTTCCTTTGTAGCACTGCACCCTTCCCAGCTCTCATTCCCAGTGGAATATCTTTGTTTATTTTTCTGGCTTCCCCACTAAGTTGGAAGTCCAGAAGAGCAGAGCTGTGTCCCTGGCCACTAGCACAGAGCCTGTCAGGGAGCAAGTGCTCAATAGTTTATTTGGATACAGATAAATTAAACTTAATGACTGCATCTTTTCTTATTAAAATAAATGAAATGTGCTTGAAGCAATTAGATAACTCATATTTTAAAATTTGTATGAGAACTACGGAGAATGGAGAAAAGGTGAGAATGGTCAGTGGTAAGAACAGGAACCTAGGGAAAGAAGGACACAGAAGAAACATATTCTTTGGGTAATCTAGTACAGTGAATTTATCTATTCTGTTTTCCTAGCCTGACATAGGTATCACTGGGTTGAAAATCAAAGTTTGGAAAGCTGCATTATTTTCTGGAGTCTCGAGGGAGGAGTGCATTTTCTTGCCTTTTTCAGTTTTTAGATGCCACCATCATTCCTTCGCTTGTGGCCTGAAGTCAGAAATGCTGCATCTTTTTGACACTGTTTCTGTCTTGATATTTCTTTTCCTGGCTACATCTGGGAAAGTTTTTTTGTTTTTTGAGGCCTCATGATTAAATAGAGTTCAAATTGATAATCTTTCCATCTCAAGGCCTTCAACCTTAATTACCTCGGTAAAGTCCCTTTTGCCATGTACAATAACATGGTCCTTATAGATTCTGGGAATTAGGATGTGGACATTGCTGGGGGCGGGGTCACCACATATATCAATGTAAATTTTCCTTAATCTCTTCCATGACAGAATTATCAGTTCTTACATTTCCAATCCATTACAGTTAGCATACCTTACATACTTTAAGCTTTCTGCAGGCAAATCATTGTCTGTTTTGTTTACTATTGTTTTATCCTATGTCTGAGGCATAATACCTGGCATTTAGAAAAAGTTGAATTGAATTTTTCAAATGAAAGAATAAATGAAATGATTATATATTGTATATGTTATTTAATGGAGGAATAGTCTCTTTGACATTAATTTAAATGGGTTTCAAGCATCTGCTAAATTTATATGACAGACTGTGTGTTATAAAAGATTTAATTTTGCAAAATATATTTCCTCTAAAAACCTATGTCAATATTCCGAAACTTTTCTTTTCATTACAGTCCCTACATTTGGATCCATATCTGGTCATATGCCAAAGTAAAGTGTTTTTTTTTTTAAACTAGAAAATATAATCTAGAGAAAATTTAGAATCAGAGAAAGTTTATCTTTTATCTTTTAAAACTTAGAGGTATATGTTTCTAAGATATTTCTGCTGATTTTTATTATACTTACATGATTAGTTAGGTCTAGTCCATCTTCTTTGATATATA